GAAGAGGAGGAGGAGGAGGAGGAGGAGGAGGAGGAGGAGGAGGAGGAGGAGGAGGAGGAGGAGGAAGAAGAAGAAGAAGAAGAAGAAGAAGAGAATAAAAATAGAATGAGAACAAAATAGAACAGAACATTAGAATAGAATAGAATAGAATAGAATAGAATAGAATAGAATAGAATAGAACAGAATATGGGAATGAAAGATAGAATAGAACAATAGAATAGAATAGAATAGAATAGATGGAAGAATAGAATAGAATAAATATTGGAATGAAAGAACAGAACGTTAGAATAGAATAGGACAGAACAGAACAGAACAGAATAGAATAGCATAGCATATATGGAATGGAAGAATAGAATAGAATAGGAATAAAATAGCATAGCATAGCATAGCATAGAATAGAATAATTATTGGAATGGAAGATAGAATAGAACAGAACATTAGAATAGAATAGAATATTGGAATGAAAGATAGAACATTAGAATAGAATAGAATAGAATAGAATAGAATAGAATAGAATAGAATAGAATAGAATAGAACAGAACAAAACAAAGCAAAACAAAAAAACAAAACAAAACAAAACAAATATCGGAATGATGAATAGAATAGAACATTAGAATAGAATAGAATAAATATTGGAATGAAAAATAGAACATTAGAATAGAATAAAACAGAACAGAACAGTACAGAACAGAACAAATATTGGAATGTAGAATAGAATAGAATAGAATAGAATAGAATAGAATAGAATAGAATAGAAACCAGACTAGAGTAGAATAGAATAGAATTCAGCATTCGAACGGACTAGGCTAGGATAGCCAATTTTGCGGAAACAAAAGCATCACCCAAACTAAACGAGTACAAACGACACCTCAAAACCGGCGTTTCAAAGCAGGAAGAATCGGCATCCGGAGAGAAAGCCGCCGGATTCCTCGCTGGGAGCCAGGACCCCGCCAGCCCCGTCCCGCCCTTCCGACCGGCGGCACCTCGATGGCCATAAGAGCCGGGAAACTCCGGAGGGCGGGCTCTCAATTCCTCAACGAGGACAAGGGAGGCCGTGCTGGACGGAAGCTGAAGGCAGCCCAGGGAGCTCGGCTGCGGCTGAACACACCGCCTGGCTGACTTTGGGGGCGAATCCCCAGGAGGGCCTGAGTTCTAGTTCTGCCTTTAGGCAGGCAAGCCAGCCAGGGGACTCCGGGATGACCCCCCCCCTCTCTCTCTCTCAGCCCAATCCACCTCGCAGGGTTGCGGTGGGGAAAAGAGGAGGCAGGCGGGCTTGTTGGATGGATGGATAGATGCATAGATAGAGAGATATAGATAGACATAGATGATAGATAGATAGATAGATGAGATAGATAGATGCATAGATAGATCTTTTCTTGAGACAGATCTTTTCTTGAAATAGACAGTAGATAGATAGATAGATAGATAGATAGATAGATAGATAGATAGATAGATAGATAGATA